GAATGTTTAGGGTGGTTCTAGCAAGATAAGCTTGGTGTGTATGATTAACTGATTTGAGGTCAGCTAATTAAAGGTCACTACATTTAACACTGGCTGACTAACTTGTTTTTCAAGATTCTAATAATTTTCCTCCTTCTAGGTTAGGGGGTGGTATTTAAGCCTTTAAGATGGCTGTACTTATGCTAACTTTTGATTCTTCAGATCCTACACTCCCACTAAACCATAGGCTCTGTGATTACCGGGAGTTTTTACTGTTCTTGCTTCAATGGAATTTGCATTCCACTGGGGACAGAGATAGTGCTGTGTTTTGGAGATTAGATGTTGCTTCTATGTTGCTAAATCCATGGGTCACTTCTATGTTCTTTGAGCTCTCAGGAGCATTTGGCACAATTGTGTGTTCTTTCCTAAAACACTGTCTTTTCTTCACTTTAAGGGCAGCACTCTTAGCAGATTTCTACAGCTGTCCCTTCTCAGTCTCTTTCATTGGTTTTTCTCTTATCCACCCAGAGTTCAGTCCTAGGTCAACTTCTCCATCTACCAACTCTCCCTAGGGGAACTCATCCAACTCCACAGCTTCATCTCATGTCATTGTTTCCTCAGCTACTCTGCTTCAGCCATCCTTGTGGCCTGTTCCTGAACATGCTAAATGCATTCTCAAGAGCCTCAAGGACTTTGCATTAGCTGTCCCCTCAGCCTGGAATGCTCTTCCCCAAGATTTTCACATAGCTGCCTCCTTTCATTCATCAGCAGCTTGAATTTTCACCTCTCCGGAGAGGCTTTCCCTGACACCCAAGTAAAGTAGCTACCCAAAGCACTGCCAGTTACATCATCCTATTCTAATCTCCAAAATACAGCAGTTTCTGTGTCCCATTGGACATGTGTAAATTCCATTGAAGCAAGAACAGTAAAAACTCCCGTTAATCACAGAGCCTATGGTTTGGTGGGAGAAGTCACATAAAATAAAAAGGTAAACCCAATAGCATATTAGAATATGCTAAGTGCTAGAGAAAAACAAGAGTGATAGGGATTAAGTGTGTGTGTTCTGGGAAGGTGGTTGCGGTCAGGAAGGGCCTCACTGAGAAATGATACCTGAGTATATTTGAAGGAGGCAAAGGAAACATCCAATGCAAAGGTTCTGAGGGGGGAGTATGACAAGTATCTACACTGGTGTGGATGCTGTAGAGGAGGAATGCAGTAAGCAATGAAAGTCCCAGTGTGTGGACACGGGGGGGTGGATCATGAAGTGCTCTTGTAAGGACTTGGGCATTTACTTAATGAACAAAAGCTGGTGGAAATGTTTAGCAGAAGAGTAACATTATTTGAATTATGTTTTGTCACCATCTCTGGCTGCTGGGTTGAGAACAGACTGCAGGCCGACAAGGGCAAAAGCAGGAGACTCATTAGGAGGCGAGTGCACTAATCCAAGAGCTGTGTGACTACGATACACCTAGGGCTCTTCTCTGCAATGACAAGGGTCCGAGGTACAGTATAGTACAGTACATATACTGTGAGGCGTGTGCTAAAGTGAATAAGCGAGTTTTCATGCTGACCCACTCAATGCTATTCAGAAATCAATTGGCTTAGCACTTTCTCATATCCTTAGGTGCATTTAGATTGTCAGAGTTAACCTGCATTTAAAAAAAAAACTAAAAAACAAAATACATGTATATACTTAAAAAAAAATAAGGTTTCCCTCTCGGGAAAACAGCAGCTACATGCTTCTTTCCTATACCACTGTAGCAAACCAAGGCATTGATGAGAGGGCATGCAAATTGTGCCTCACTTTACAGTGTTTATCAGAGCACTTAATAAAATGTAAGGCTGGTATTTATTTGAAGTTGTACAGTATGACTTAATTCACATCCGTTGGAATAGAAAATATATTCTGTTGAGTATTTAAGAGGCTGTACATGTTTTCTTTTGTGTTTCGATTCTTTGTATTTTTTCATGTTCAGTACATCAATAAACAAAGTTGAAGAGAAAAAAAAAAAAAACCTGGGCTACGCCGGGTAGCTGTAGCCCATGAAGCTGGCGGACGAGGCGGCATACGGGTACTGGTCGAAGGTGGCTGGCGGGTACTGGGCGTAGGCTGGGCTGGCTGGTGTGTATTCGATGTAGGGCGAGGGCAGTGACGGGACCGGGGTAGCCGGGATCACTACACTGGGCTGGACAATGGCTTGCGGGTAGACTTAGTGGGGTCAGCCCGTAAGTCCGCTGGATCAAGGTGGGGTGCAGCTGCTGCACGCCAAAGGCAAAGCCCATCTGGAGGCTCCTGGGCTTGGCACCCAGATAGGCCAGGTTCACATACTACAAACCCTGCGTATACCCTACTCTTTATCACTGCCTTGTCTTGGTGGGCACTCAGCACACATTTGCTGATTTTAATGATACAAAAGATGTACTGAGTTCATTGGACAAAACAGGGACTAATCAGTGGGTTATTTATAAGTTCTCTGGGTTTGCGAATAACTTCACTAACACTGGATTTCTGGCTCTTTTATTTAGTTCCATTTGCACCTAAATGCTACTTAACAAAGAAATAGAGCACTGATGTGTATTTATTTCAACTTACTTTGTAAAGGAGAGATACTCAACCCAGGCGAAATGTGAAGACTTTCAGTTGCTCCTCTCTTTATTAGTAACCTATTATTTCAACCTAATATTTTCATGCAAAGCATGACATTAGCATTGGGGAGTGTATGAGACAAGTTCCTCTTCTCAATTTAAAATCGAGTTGGATAGATAAATCAATGCATAGAGAGATAAGTACAAATCCCAGGTGGTGTATGTCAAAGGTTACATGAAGCTATTTAAGAAGGATCCTGAAGAGTGACTCAAACTTTAAAAATAAATAGAAGAGGCAAGTAATAGTGAATTGGAATGTCAGTTCGCTGGCATGAGATATGTAATGAACTCAATTAAAAAAAAAAACAAAAAAACAAAGCCACAGGAGAAAGCCAGTAGCAGCGACACCAAAACATGCCTTTCTAAACAACGTGGATAAATATCAACTAAAGACAAGTAGGACAATGAGAGCTTTGTGGTGTCTAACAGAAAACTGAAAGCAGCCCAGCTGTCTAAAGTGGCTTACATAACTTTATTTGTATTTCTGCTTTTATAGTCAATAGGTCAGACATGCAGTCAATGTGGGTTAATGTGACTGAAAAGTCAGGTATTTATTGAGCATCTAAGATATTTGGAATTGTGCTCCATACTGCTTACGTTTTTCTTTGGGTAAATGTTTAACTTAGAGGGAAAACACCCACACACCAAATAATTAGCCAATAATCTACAGTGGCTGTCTCGAGGGCGTGGGCTAGGTGCAGACCAGCAGTACTGACCTATCTCCCCACCCTTTCACCTAACACCCAAAGGTGTGTAATGGCACGAAGGTGGCGTTCCCAAGTCAGGTAATCTTTTATGGCACCGTTTGGACTCCGATCCAAGGCAGACGAGCAGGCAAACCTTTGAAATACCTGGCACTGATTTGGGCGGCGAGGGTCACGGGTCAAGGCAAGACTTGTACCGGGTCCACACGGCCCTACGCTCCCTCCTAGCCTTTGGGCGACGGAAACACGCTGGCCCATGGAACTCCCGCTGCCCTTTGCCCTCAACTCTCCCGCAACCCTGCCCCGACTACCAACCAGACCCGCCTAGGCACACTGTGCCTTCATCCCCTTCAGCTCGTCCCGCAGCGAGCCGGTAGCGGTCCAAGCGCCCAGAGAGTGCGCAGGAGACGCACGCGGGGAGCCAGCAGGTGACCCCGCCGCAAGGTAGGCCCAGGCTCTTCCCAGACGCAGTCGCCGGCCGACGACAACGCCTGGGGCGCGCGCTCCGAGGACTGGAGGTGGACTGACTCCTCTCGCTCCCCGTAGCCACACACCCCTCGCGCGTCAGCCTCCCCCTCCCGCCGCTGCGGCCGCCGAACAACCTGTGTGGGCGCCGCTGGTTGCAGGTGAGTAGCGGGGCGGCTGCTGCGGTGGGCTCGCTAGCCGAGGAGGGGTTCGGACGTCGCTGTCCCCGAGTCCGAACTGGGCGGGCGAGACCGTCTCGGGCCAGCCCGTCGCACAGACGCTCCCTGCGACGGAGTTAAGACCGGGTGGCCGGGAAGCTGAGGTGTACGCGGGCGCCGCGCGGGAGCCCATGTCGCGAGTGGCCCTTCAAGCAGCGCGCCCGGCATCGCGCTTTGGGCGCCAGGGCGCCGCGCTGCACACCCAGCCCACCGGGGCCGTCGTCTTCCCTGCTCCCCCAGGCCCATGCCGAGCGCCCCCTCCGTCGGGGAGGTTTCCTCCCCGGTGTCTTGAACGACAGATTCTTTACATTTAATGACAGATCTCCAAGGCTTTCCCGGACTCCGAACACGCTCTAAGGTGCCAGGTCATTTGAACGCAGGTTTCCTCGTTGGGAAACGCAAGTCACCAGCGTTGCTTTGAGCGTCCGTAGAACAAAACATGTTACTAACATTGGGAAACGCAAGTCACCAGCGTTGCTTTGAGCGTCCGTAGAACAAAACATGTTACTAACAGCAGGACCGGTCCCTGTGGGTACTTCGGGGAATGGTTCAAATCGGATCACTCTCTGATCTCGAGGTAAATTGTGAACGTGGCTATGGCCTGTCTGTACCTTGTCTTTTTGCTCTTGTACGTACTTTATGCATTTTATGGAGAACTGAGCTTTGAGGTTTTGACAAACGTGTGTTAGTAACATCGATAAGTGCTAAACAGGGATGCAGCTTCTGAATTTATAATAGAGACCAAGTGCGTTTAATGTGTATTGCTGGAAGGTACAATGACAGAATTAGCGGAAGTAGAATGTAGGAAGTTTTGGTTTCGTTTCTCTTTCGGTTCTGCTAAAAGCCTTGAGGTTTCCTCTGGAGTTGTTATGGGTACTTCAGTCATTCAGACTGTGGTTGATGATCCCCCCCTGTGATGAAAGCCACAGGGAAAACTGTCTTTCTAAAGATTGCATTTTTTTCCTTTCATTTGTTTAGAGGAGAAAGAACAAATCCTTCTATTAGTAATAGCTAAAATTTATAAAGCACTTACTATTGCTTTGTTTTATTCATTGAGTCAGAGACCTATGAGGTGAATACTGTTTTATTCTCATAGATGAGAAAAAAAAGAGTAGCTCAAACAGTTGAACCGGAGTATTTGCTATTATTTTAGTAATTTTAATAAGTTTCATGTTAGAAATGTTCTAGTATGTATTTTTAGATTTATTGTTTTTGTTTGCGCGACCTCAGGATTTTATGGTGATATAAAAGACAGTTAATGCTAATTTTAATGTCACTATTAACCCCTTTGGAGGAGGTTGCTATTATTTAAGTTGCCTGATGATGTAATAAACCTGTTTTTTTTAAATTGATGAATAACTGACATCCGGTATTAGTTTCAGGTGTACAATATAGTGATTTGATATTTATGTACATTACACAATGGTCACCACTTAAGTCTAATTATCTGTCACCAAAGTAGTTGGATTATTCTTCACTATACTTCCTGTTCTGTATCTTACAACCCCCATGACTTATTTATTTTATAACTGGAATATTGTAACTCTGAATTCCCTTCACCTATTGCTTCCAACCCATGCACCCTCCCCTCTGGCAACTGTGAGTTTCTGTTGTGTTTTGTTTGTTTGTTTTGTTTTTTAGATTCCACATGTAAGTGAAATCATGGTATTTGTCTCTTATTTCACTTAGATAATGCACTCTAGATCCATCCATGATGTTGCAAATGGCAAGATTTCATTTTTTTTTATGGCTGAGTAATTTTCTATTATACACCACATCTTCATTCATCTCTCAGTGGACATTTAGGTTATTTTCATATCTTGGTGATTGTAAATAGTGCTGCAGTGAACTTTGTAAGGTAAAATTGAGCCGAAATGACTAGGCGAGGAGGCAACAAAGGAGCCAAAAGTTTAATAGGGCGCAATCCTGGGGAATGTTCGCCAGTCTGGTTAGTCACAGGCCGGAGAAGTCGTGCCCAGCAAGGCAGGCAGCGAGTTTATAATGAAGTTACAGGGAGGGAGAGCATGGTGGCCGGGAAGCTGAGGTGTACGCGGGCGCCGCGCGGGAGCACATGTCGCGAGTGGCCCTTCAAGCAGCGCGCCCGGCATCGCGCTTTGGGCGCCAGGGCGCCGCGCTGCACACCCAGCCCACCGGGGCCGTCGTCTTCATGTCGCGAGTGGCCCTTCAAGCAGCGCGCCCGGCATCGCGCTTTGGGCGCCAGGGCGCCGCGCTGCACACCCAGCCCACCGGGGCCGTCGTCTTCCTTGCTCCCCCAGGCCCATGCCGAGCGCCCCCTCCGGGTTTACAGTGGTGTGAGGATTGGCTAGCCTAAGGCACCTTTTCCAGGTTGGGAGGGGGCAGCAGCTGTGGATTTTGGCACGTCATCAGGCAGGAATCTGTTGGTCTCTTTCCCTTACTAGGCTTGAGTTGGGGGCTTTGCTGCCCCCTTTCCCTGTTTGGTGAGGGCTGAGCTTGTCCGATGTGCTCACGCCTCCCTCTGGTGCCTCCAGCCTTACAAAACTTAAAGGTGCATATGGCTTTTCAAAATAGTGAAGTGTCTTCTTCAGCTAAATGTAGAAGTGGAATTGCTGAATCACATATGGCAGTTCTATTTTTAGTTTTTGAGGAAACTCCATACTGTTTTCTAAGTAGCTGCACCAGTTTGCATTCCCACCAACAGTGTGTGAGGGTTCTGTTTCCCCACATCCTCACCAACACTATTACTTCTTATCTTCTTGGCACTAGCCATATTGACAGTGTGAGGTGGTATCTCATTGTGGTTCTGACTTGCATTTCCTTGATGATTAGTGATTTGAGCATCTTTTCATGTGCCCGTGGGCCATCTGCATGTCTTTGGAAAAATGTCTATTCAGGTTCTCTGCCCATTTTTTAACCAGATTGTTGTTTTTGATTTTGAGTTGAGTTCTTCATCTGTTTTGGATGTTGACCCCTTATCAAATAAATCATTTGCATATATTTTCTCCCATTTAGTACCTTGCCATTTTTGTTGTTGATGGTTTTGTTCACTGTGCAGTTTTTTAGTTTGTGTAGTCCCATATGTTTATTTTTGCTTTTGTTGTCTGTGCCTGAGGAGACAGCATCAAAAAAATATGCTAAGACTGATGTCGTGGCAGTGTTTTCTTCTAGAAATTTTGTTTTCAGGTCTTACACTTATGAATTTAATGTATTTTTATTTTGTATATGCTGTAGGAGATCCAGTTTCATTCTTTTGTATGTAGCATTCCAGTTTTTTCAACACCATTTCGAAAGACACTGTCTTTTCTCCGTTGTATATTCTTGCCTCCCCTTTGTCAGAGATTAATTGTCCAGGTAACCATGGGTTTATTTCTGGGCTCTCTGTTCCACTGATCTACATGTCTGTTTTTGTGCCAGTACCATATTATTTGATAACTATAGCTTTGTGGTATAGTTTGAAATCTGGGTGTGTGATACTTCCAGCTTTGTTCTTTCTCAAGATTGCTTTGGATATTTGGTTATTGGATGTTTTTGTGGTTCCATACAAAATTTAGGATTGTTTTACTTTTTGAAAAAGTTCATTGGAATTCTGATAGGGATTGCACTGAATCTGTAGATTGCTTTGGTTAGTATGGACATTTTTAACAATATTAATTGTTTCACTCCATGAACATGTTATGTATTTCCATGTATTTGTGTGATCTTCAGTTTCTTTCATCACTATCTTAAAGTTTTCAGAGTACAAGCATTGCCTTTTGGTTAAATTAATTCCTAGGTATTTTATTCTTTTTTATACAATTGTAAATATTATTTACTTAATTTCACTTTATGATAGTTCGTTATTGATATATAGAAATGCTACCAATTTCTATATACTGATTTTGTATCCTGCAGCTTTGCTGAATTCATTTTTTCTTTTTTGGTGGCAGATTTATTTAGGGTTTTCTATATGCAGTGTCATGTCATCTGCAAGTCAGTTTTATGTCTTCCTTTCCAGTATAGATGCCCTTTATTTTTCTTGTCTGATTGTTGTGGCTAGGGCTTCTAATATTCTGTTGAATGAAAGTGGTGAGGTGATAAAACTTATCTCATTCCTGATCTTAGAGGAAAATGGCCTTACATGGTCTTTTGTTAATATATGTTCCCTCTGTGCTCATGTTGTTGAGAGTTTTTATCATGAACAGATGTAGAATTTTGTCAAATGACTTTTATGCATCTATTGAGATGATATGACTTTTATCCTTTGTTTTATTAATATGGTCTATCACACTGATTTGTAGATATTGTATCATCCTTACATGTCAGGAACATATCCCACCTGATCATGTTGTGTGATTTTTTAATGTATTGTTGAATTTGGTTTGCTGATATTTTGTTGAAGATTTTTCTGTTTGTGTTCACTGGGATATTGGCCTGTATTTTTCTTTTCTTAAAATGTATTTGTCTGGTTTTGGTATCAGGGTAATGCTTGCCTGGTAGAATGAGTTTGGAAGTGTTCCGTTCTCTTCCATTTTTAAAAATAGTTTGAAAAGGATAAGTATTAGCTCCTCTTTAAATGTTTGGTATACTTAAGTTGTGAAACCATCTGGTCCTGGACTGTTGTTTGTTGGGAGCTTTTGATACTAAGACAATTTTGTTACTAGTAATTGGTCTATTCAGATTTTCTATTCCTGAGTCAGTCTTGGAAGATTTATGTTTCTAAGAATTTATCCATTTGTTCTAGATTGTCCCATTTGTTGATTTGTAATTATTTGTAGTAGTCTCTTATGATCTGTTGTATTTCTGTGGTATCAGTTGCAACTTCTCTTTCATTTCTGATTTTATTTATTTGGGTCCTCTCTCTTGCTGAAGGTTTATCAGTTAAAATTTTTTGTTTTTCAAACAACCAGCTCTTAGTTTTTTGGGTCTTTTCTATTATTGTTTTAGTTTCTATTTAATTTGTTGCCACTTTGAACTTTATTATTTCC